CGACTTTGAGCCAATTTTTGAATACCTACCATTTGGAATCATGGAAAAGTGTATTCTCAGAACTTTTAGTACTTTGGAAGAAGTTTCCAACGGTACTAAATTTTCCAATTTTGGACTTTCAAAGTGTAAGTTATGAATTTTCCAAAAATTGCCCATAAATTCAATAATTCTTAGCTTTTTCAAAATTTTCGCACGGGAAACATATTCACAGAATCCGGCCGTATATCCGGCCAGTTCTTGGTCAGATAGTTGGTCAGGTTGGTGGTGAAAATTGAAAAAAAAAATTGAGCTGCTCTCTGCCTTGAATCCAGCCAAAAATCCGGCCGGATATCTTGGCCGGATTGTGACGTGGCACTTCTCATTCCGACTTCGGTCGTTCGTTTGGAAAACGATTTTCATGATTTCATATCTACTTACTTCCATCGAATGATTCTAAGGATGAAAGTCGGATTTTCTTGTGTTCATGAACCCTACTTTAAACCCTCGACTTACAAGAAGATTTGTGACCCGTCTTCACGATATTTCTAGGTTGTACATGTGTACGATCTTCCATGATAATGGAAACTTATAAATGATAACTTATTATTAATTGCTCACGCTCGCACGAGGACCTTCAAGAGGATTCTACGGTAGACGCTTGAACTTCAAGTAACATTCTCCTTGGTTGACTTGGTGAGTGTGAAGTGCATGATTACTTGAACTCCTGTGAATTGATACATGCTTACTTGGTATCCATGACTTGAGATTTTGAAAATGGAGACGAGTGTACACTTTATCGCACTCGTTCTCATTTGAAACCAATGACTCATGATTAACTTGTTTGACATGAAATGAATGACCTGCTGGACATGACATGAATGCTTGAATATATCACATGCTTGCTTGACTTGAAATAGTATGCTATGGCTGCATACGTCGCTGGAGTGAATCTCCTCGACACTCAAATGTACATGGGGGACGCCCAAACTCATAGGCCGACCTTGGAACTCGAGCCGGCTTGGGCTTGGTCGGAAACCTTGGTGAGCCATGAGAATGACATGATAAGTTTGATCTATTGAAGAGATCTTGTTTGGCATACTCGTGGAGTATCACCTTATAAATGACGTTCGGGTCCAGTGGGGGGTTGTAAGGTGGACGGACATGAGAAGTAAGTGGAGATCTACGGATTGGAAATACCGACCTGGTTGATGGAGAGTCATCGCGGGAAGGTATACGAATGCCCTGACAAAGCATGTGGAACTTAGCTCTTGAGAGTTACTATATTCTTGAATTGTTTCTGGTTACATTTCATTGAAATTGTTAATTACTCGCACTTTATCATTTGACCTGTTATTTGGGCTTGCTACTTGGACTATGTGCTTGCATGTGTGTTCTTGGCCTCACGAGCGTTTTGCTCACCCTATAGATTTGTTTTCCTTAACAGGATTGGGCATGGTTTGAGATTCGAAGGAACTCCCTTTTGATGTACTTTTGTAATAGGGTTTGCTATGTACTTGACTAAACTTTTGGTTGTTGCATATTTTGGGTTTAAATGTATCTTTTGGAGATCCTGATGTAAGGATTGGATAACTCATGTATCATGAACTTGGGATGTAGTATTTGATATCATCCAAAGAAGTCTTCCGCACTTCTTTACTCTGTCTTATCGTTTTAGAACTATTGTATTAAGCTTGAATGGATATTGTCTTGAGTCCTGGCGAGAGTTGGGCAGGCGTCCCACGGATACCCTTTGGTTTGCCTTAGGGAGAAGTGGGGGTGTCACAGAAGTTAGAAAAACTCAAATGGAAGCGGATTAGTGAGGCTTCAAACGTGATTGCGGAAAACATCAACAATGTCGAAGCAGCAACTTTAGGGCCAAATTCGAAGGGTTTTTGGACGTTGTTTCCAAAAAGTTTCTAAACGAAACTTGCTCTTCCAAGTTCCTAGATTATGCAGAAGTCAAAAACTCCTTGGACGAAGCTGTATCGAGGCCAAAGGGGGCCGGATGACCAGCCTGTTTCTGGAAAATTTTTCCAGAAAAAAGAAAATTTTCTCTCTTTTTTCTACCATTTTTTCTCCCCCCCCCCCTTCTCCAGAAACGCCTTCTTTCCTTTTTAAATGGCCCTAAGCTATCAAAACCCTCCTGTCAATGGTGAGGATGAAGTAGGTGTTTGCTAGTGTCTTTTGGGTCATTTGATGGCTTTGTTTCCAGAGAATTCTTCATGATTCTTGTAGAAATGAGGTGGCACTTTGTACTGGTATGCTTGGGGGAAAAGAAAGAGAAGAAATATTCAACTTTGCTATCTTAGAAATTTGCTCCAGCTTCGAGTTTGTTTTTCCCATTTTTTGTTGGAGTAGATGAAGCGCGCGTGCGAAATTTTTTTTTTTTTTTTTTGAAAAACTGCATTTTTCCTTTTTGTTTTCTTTTTTCTCTTTTCCTTCATTTTCCTACAAAAACCAACCAAACAGAAAGATTTTACTTAAAATAAGAATAAAAGGTAAAAAATAAAGATAACAAAAATGAATTATCGCAATTTTGGCGACTACACCATAAAGATAACATTATGAAGTATATGCTAATCGTTCTATAATCACACTAACAAATATAATATAGAAGATTGGGTCTATTTAATGAATGCCCATTGGACACTTATTAAAATATATTTTAGGTGTCGTACTTTTGGAAATATAAGATTAATTAGGGAAAGTAAATAGAAACAAATGAGGGTAGGGAAAATTAAATAGGTAAATTATATAAATGCAAAGGAAGGTAATAATTGTTAGTATGTGTATTTATATGGGAGGTTATGTGATTTTAACTGTATTAACAAGTATCCAATGTGCACCCGTTAGAAAAATCCTAAAAGATTAAAGTCACAAATAAGGCAGATTGTACAGAATTTCAAGTAAAAAAATATTAGAGAACAATAATTGAGAAATTATTTTATAATACAAGTATATCATCTAAAACATCGATAATTTAAGCATATGTACATGATATAGTTTTGGAATGACTATAGTCTCTTAAAAAAAATTAATACATATTACAATGCAAAATATTCTTTAGATTTTGCTAATGTAAATGCATAGGTGTATAGTAATCAAGGGATTATAATAATTTAAATGCATCGATATATAATAATAAATCAAAGTACTTATAACAACTGGGTCGGATTAGTGGTTAAGGAAGGGATCTTAGAGTTTTTCTTGCTCTCAAATTTGGTGTTCGAATCCTTCACCTAACAGTTGAGGGTAGAAAGAGGGTTAAAAAAATCAAAGTATTTATAATTAAACTTCTTTTTTAATTAAATACAATCAAACCATCATCTAACACTAGCACACTTTGTTTATTTTTAAAATTTATATAAAAAAGGGTGTATAATGACCATAGATCACTATAAAAAAAAATCAAAGTACTTATAATTAATCTCCTTTTTTTATTGAATACAATCAAACCATTATCTGATACTGGAACACTTTGTTTATTTTTAAATTTTTATAAAAAAAAAGGGTGTATAATAATCATTATTGAGCAATCGATGTTTTCTTTGTCAATATAGATCACACTATGAAACATACACTAATGGTTCTCTAATCACAATAACAAATATAGTATAGAAAATTAAAGTTGCAAATAATGCAGATTGTATAGAATTTCAATTAAAAGAAGATTAGATATCAATAATTGATTTTATAATTTAAATTATTTTTATTATACAATTATATCATCAAAAAGATCGATAATTTAAGCATTTGTACATGACATAATTTTGGAGTCACCATAATCTCTTAGGAAAAAATAATACTAATTACAATGCAAAATATTCTTTAGATTATAATAACATAAATGTATTGATGCATAGTAAAAAATCAAAGTATTCACAATTAATCTTTTTTTTTCCTATTGAATACAGTCAAACCATTTATGCTAGCATGAAAAGTGTTTAGCTTTTCGGTAAATTTTGTTCTATAGGTTGCTTTTTCCCTATATATTTTGATGTTTGACATATACATTATTTGGTTATGAATGACATAGAATTTTATTCCTTTTAACCTTAATAAACATTTTAAAAAGTTTATTAAGGTTAAAACAAATAAAATTCTACATCATTTTAATTTTCGAAGGATGCTAGATCTTTTCTTACTTTTTTAGTTAAATAAAATTTCAGATTACGTGGTTTGATTATTCATTTATTTACCATTCTCCTTTTTTTATTTCTCAACATCTTGACTCAAAGTACTCATTTCCCCAAAATGCCAAAACTTAAGTACTAGAGTGAAATATAGGGGTGGCAATTTTCGATACGATCCAAAAACACGATTCGAATCTAACACGAAATTAATAGGTATGGGTTTATTCTTCATGGGTTCGGATCAAATTCAGGTCAAACTCGAATGACCCACTAAGCAAATAAGTCAAATTTAGGTCAACAAGGGTTGACCCGTTTGACTAGTCTGATATGTTTAATATGTGATTTTATAATTTAATTAATAAATTAGAGGCATAAAATAAATAAAAAGAAAACTAACTAAGGCTATAAATTAGTATTACGAGAACAGAATCATGAATATTATGCAAAAATAAGGTATTTTATTTGTGAAAGTATAGTCGTTTTGTTTTTGTTCATGATTTTATTTTTGTACAAAAAGAAAAATAAAAAAATTACTATGAGATTGGGCTGCAATTTTCTATAGTCTTATGGAAACTCCATTATTGAAAAAAAACCACCATATTCCCAAAGTAAGAAGGTTAAAAAAATAAAAACAAAGTTAAATAAACGGGTTATTCAAGTTAGTGCAGGTAACCTGCTAAATTAACGAGCCGTGTTCGGGTCAAGAAAGTTGACCAATTTAAATTTTCGAATCGGATTTGGATTAACATGTTATTTAGAATACCTGAATAGTGAATAACCAGCCCGTGATCCGACCCCATTGCGACCCCTAGTGAAATGGTCCAAAACTTTGAGGACTAAAACAGTAATTCCTCCTACCATAAATGTGAGAAACTGTGGGAACTGCAAAGACATATAAGCGCCCACTTTCTTATCTCGAAACAAAAACCTTTTCTTTCCCTCTTCTGAAAATCCCCTATTCTTTCAATTTCAGCTCTCTGCTTTCCCTTGACTTTGCTCTTGATTTTTCGTCCAAGCAGAAGAGGAAACAAGAAATAAGGTAATCTATGCTCAGTTAATATGCTACTAGTAGATATCCTTTGATGCTATTGTTCTTTACTGCTCTCACTTGAGCCCAACATTGCATTTATTTGTCAATAAAACAGAAAGATTGAATTTTTATTGTTCCATCAGCAGCAAAAAGATTGCTGTCTTTACAGAGTGCTAAACTTGTGTATGTTTGGTTGAAATCTTGCAGGGTTTTGTGCTAAGTTTACTTAGATGATCAAAAGACTTCAGTTTTAAGCTGATCAGACAATTTTTCCTACTTGAAAAGCAAGAAGGTAGGTCTTCATCTGCTTTTTGTCAAGTTCTTTTATCTTGGAATTGCTAAATTCTATAAAGGGTTTCTGAAAAGTTATGATTTTGATGTACTTTTGTTAAGTATGGATTTAGTTGCTTGAACTTGGATAATTACTAGTTTGTAAGTACTAGCTCAAGTTTTCTTTTTCTTTTTGTCTTTTCAATGAAATGGCGAAGCCAAGAAGCTGGAGTGATGCTCTGGCTTGATGTTTCTTCTTCTGTTGTATCTTTTCCAATTTCTATATTTTTTTCTTGTTTATGTTTATTTTTTCCTGTTAGTTTATAAATTTGAAGATATTGAAAGCAGTTACGAGATTTGTTCTTTAGGTATCTGTTGAATTTCATATTGTGAAACCTAAAGCTGTTTATCTACGAAGTACAACAAGTCTTAGAGGAAAGTTATTTTCTTTATCCAAATCAAAGGCGACATTGGCTAGGTGTTAACTAGTTGTTCTGATGTCATAAATGTGCCATTTTAATTAGTAGCACATGTAAAAAATGTGTACTGGGTTTTTTGATGTATATGCTATGTCAGAAACTTTGATCTATTTTTTCCTTGTACATTTAAGATGTGGTTATGTTGTGTGTGTGTGTGTGTGTGTGTGTATATATATATATTTGTGGTTGTGTTTGTGATGTTTGATGTTGCTGAATGCACCGATGTCTAACCATGGCTAGCATTGCATATGGGTGTTAATGAGCCGAGTCAACTGTACCAAAATTGGAGTGCTCGAGTTGAATTTTCAAAGTCGAGCTCCTAAACTTGTGCTCAAGGTTGATTTGATTAAAAAAGGACAAATTAACTTACTCCACCTCAACTTGAGTAAGCTACAGAACGAGTCAAGGCTTTTTGAGCCTGAGTTCAAGCCTATTGAGCTCAATCATTATGGAATAATGGATTTTAGTTTTACTCAAGAATAGATAGAATAAACTTTTCATGAATTATGAGCTCAACTCAAGTGATGCTCAAGCTGCATTCTAGCTCAACTCAAGCTTGGTCAACTCTGAGTTGAGTTGAGCTGTTGACCAAGCTGGTTGCAGGCAGCTTGCAAGCAACTTGGTCCAACTGCCCCTATTTGCAGTTTCTTATGATTGTTGGTTATAGCAATTATTGGTGTCCAAAATGCTATGCCTGTTTTATGTTGTTTAATAAAACAGTGGCGTTTAGATCTAAATATGTTGTTAAAATGTTTAGTTTAGCTGCAATTCAATAATCTCTTTTAAAGTATCTCTGATTGTGTGTTTTACATTTTACTTTGGAACCTATTTAACATTGTCTCAACTTCATGTCAATGTTGTCGACTCTGTCTACAAATAAGACTTTGTAACCATTCATATTCGTTCAATTCCATGAACTACTGTCCTTGTTGCTCCGTGTTGTTTGGGAACCCAAAATGTTGCTAGAGCTATTAAAAACTGGTACTCTGCTGTCTAAAATAACTGAGTTGATTGAATTGAATGAAGCACATGCTATCTTTTCCTTGTAGCTTTTAGGTCTGTTGAGTAATCTCTGATCATTCTGCATTGAAGAAGCTGACTCTTATTCATGAGGATGTTGGAGTCAATTGTTTGATTTTAGAGACCTCGTTTAACCCATAAACCTGATATTGACGTGTTTAAAAATCCATGACTTTTCCAATCATTCCTGGAGTTCCAGGTACAATGCAAGATGATTTTTTTTCCCTTTAGGATTGTTTCAGAGATTTGACAATCGTTTTCTTTTTCTTGAATTTCTCTCTGATGGGATTTTTTTCCCCTATGGGTATTGACATAATGAAGTTTTTAGTTCCAGATACTGATTAGGAATAGTCCTTTCATTCATGCTTGCGGGTCTTGTAAATAGTAGCATTGATTGAACAAAAGATTCTTTGTGCTCATTTTCTCAGCTCTATGGTGATCTTTCATTGCTGAATCTGTTTGATAGTTTCTAGTGTTGTTCTGCTGAGTGTGTAATCACAGTCCACTTATTTCTAAGCATGGTCTTCAATCTTGATCAATGCTGAGTCCTGGATTATATTGTTTGATCTCATATGATGTACTTGAAAATACCATTGACACTGTGAATCTTGAAGCTCTTAAGTCTTCTTTTGTGCAACAGTTCTGTGCTCTATTGGACCCTGGATAAGTAATGTTTATAATATCAGTTAGAGTTCTTTTAAAATTTGGAGATATGGTAAGCCATATTTATTCTGCGACTTAACGTGTCCTATGATATTCCTATTCTCTTTGGCTAATGGCATCAGTATGATTGTTTGGAAGCAGCAATGTCCTCATGTGTAAATTGTGTATTTGTATCTTTTGAAATCAAAATGAAGCCTGTAAATACTTATTTCTTCATTTATGAGATTTGATCAACCTGCACACAATTGGGCAGGTATACGTACTGCTGTGAATGAGTAAAGTTGATACTGGTTAATTGTTTGTTTCCAGATAAGACATCGGTGCTGTGGAAGGTCCCACATCATGCTCCTTTACAATTAGTGCCTCTGGATGTCTTGCACAAAAGCTATAGGTATCATGTAACGTGGATTGATTACCTTGTTGACGTCTAGTACCTTCATGTATCTTTATTTTTTATTATTGTTATTTTCAGGAAATTTGACATATAGTGTATAGATTTAGCTACTTTTCAGCTGGGCTGTGTTTCCCATGCTTGATGAGTTATATATATGTGCATGTGTATGTATGCATATATGGTCCAGTCTGTGCCTTTTGGATTTTGTGTTCTGGCATTTCTTGAATAACAAGCTGGTTTGCGGTCCAGTCTGTGCCTTTTGGAATTTCTGTTCTTGTATTTATTGAATTATAAGCTGGTTGTCATGATATTTTTTTAATTAGCAAGGATGTGTTTGCTATTGCTAAAATGGTATGAGGTTTATATAGTGCTTTTTGATGTGAATATTCACCTGCTTATCTTTCCTTACTGTAATGCCTGAGTCTAGTATTCTTAGCTGGCATAGCATTTGCATTAATGAAACTGATGGAAATGTAATTGCAACAACAAAAAATCATGGTCACCCAATCATTACTATTGTGGCCAAAGAACTTTTGGTTTTGTCTCTTTAGTAACAAGAAGCCTTGCTTTATAAACTTCACCTCAATATATTATCGAAAGAAACTGTTCTTTTTTTTTTTGTTCTCCAAGTAAATCATTATGATACTTGGCTTGAAATCAAATGAGCACAGCCTAGGGCTTCTCATTGTGAATGCACCCTCCTTGAATTAGATGAAATTTTGTGGAAAGAGGATTGTGTTACAGGAATTGTGCTGCCCAGTCCAGAACAAAATCAATGGAAATGGACTTTTAACATTATAATATGAAGAATAGTCTCTTGTTGATTACCACCATGAAGATCAAGAGCAGATCATTATTGTTTTGTTTTGTTTTTTTATTTTTAGCTACATTATTTTTTCCATGGGTTTCTGGCACTTTTGTAATTTTTCACTTGGATTCATTTTTCACTTGGAATTTAGCCTATAATAGCTGACTCTACAATTATCTGGTCATTTGTTTTGTATGGGCCATTTTAAATGCTGTTGCCCCTTAGGTATTTATCTTTTGTATAATTTTCTAAAAAACAAATAAGTCTACCTATTGTGATCTAGTTATGTAGTTTTAGGATTTCTTTAATGTAGTTTCTTAACCCGACCCATATTTTTCTAGGGCCAATTTGGATTTAGAAAGCTCAGGTCACCTTGCTTGAATCAAAAGCGGTGTCGTTTAACCTGTAGATTAAAAGTGGAAGGTTGTTCTTTCTGCCTATACATACATGTCAGACAACTGCTGAAATTCCCCTGAGAAGCTAAACTCAGATTTCTTATCAAATTAAGCTTTAATTTACACCTGGTTTTCCTGGTTGATTGTCAACTTTTTTCTGGCTATAGATTTTTGTACTTTGTTTGGGCTGTGTGTACAATTCTGATGGCAAGCAATACAAGTTTGGACGAGCGAAGAAAACGGACTCTTGATGCATTGCAAAGAAGGTTTGCTCAAGAAGAAGCAGAGCATGAACTTCAGCAAAAGAAGAGCAAGAAAAGGGTCCAGGAGGGAAAGGATAAAATCCCGTCTGGCATTAGTCATCCCTCTACTGATGCATCGGCCATTGCGGCTCCCTCGAGTTTGTCAGCTAAGAAAGGTCTCTTTCCTTAACGACTATGATTATTAACATTGGTTCTATTATCTGCACAGAATTTTCACTTCAATTTTTTCATTTGCGGTTTTGCGTTGTTGAGATGATAGTTCTAAATATCTACTTGAAAAAGAACGAGTGGAATCTATGGTTGACAGATTGAAAGTTATGATTTGTTCTATGAGTGCTTCTTAATATTTGTTTCAATCCAATTAACCTAATAAGTTAAAGGCTTGTTATTTGTTGGTTATAGTTGCTTTAGTGGTTAACTGAACAAAATTAATGTGCGAGTCTCCCAGCTCTAAAAAGCTGTTTAATTCTTGTCTTCTGCAAAAAGGGTGATAGACATTAAGAATTGTATTAGTCAGTTTTTATTTTATATGTCTAATCACATCACCATTCATGTCCTTGCTGTAGGAAGCATTTCTTTCTCGTCTCATACAAGTAAAGAAGGTACCTTTTTTTGGATTCTCTTTGATCGCGTAAATATTGGAACAATTTATGGAGATGTTTGCTTCTGTATGCGGAAGTGAGGAACATTTTCTTTTTTTATTTTATTTTATTTTTTTTGTGGTTGCCCTTGTGATACATTAACTTAGAAGCAAGTGATCCGGCATACTTTGGACTCTCCAATAGCGTGCAAGAAAATTTGCTTAGAGATGGTGATGAGGTAATTTTCTTGCCATATGTTATATTGAACTCTTTTAATTGCTTCAACCAACAATGTACAGTGAGATTCAGCCAGTAGCTTCATCTCTCTTTTTTTGACACCATGGTATTTTGTTGCAGATTTCTGATAAGCGCTCCATAGTTGATTATCTATTGCACGACCTTTTTCAACATGGTGATGCGGCTGACAAGTACATGCAAGGATCTAAAAGCATAAAAATTGACAATTGGATCCTTCTTGATAACTTTGTCCAAAAAAGTGGAACAGCTGCTGCTGCACGAGTTCGTGCTCTACAAACACATTCCAGAAGATCTAAGAGGCACATGTCTCTGAAGCAACACAAAAAGTGTGGTTCATTTCATTTGCCTCAACAGCTTCGCAAGTCAGTTAACCTTCTCCTCTGATTTTTTAATCGCACACTTAACATATTGGCAATGTTCATTTATCATGTAGTTAAAATTCACTTGGGATGCAGTTGTAGTTCTTTGTATCTTCAGCTTTTCAACTTCTTTTACCTGTATTTGGTGTGATTGAGCACTAAACACGATTCATGTATTTGACCATTATAAATTTCTGTTATCTCCTCTTTATAAATACTACATACTTAAAAAGTTTTAAATTCTGACACGAGTCTCTACTTGCATCTAAATTTTTATTTGCTTTATTGGGCACTCCCAAAGTGTACCTTTTATAGAGTTATGTAAAAGAACCATGATAATTCTCAGTATTACTTGCTCACAGCTGAACTGATATTTTAGTATGGACTCTCATAGCTAAGATAGAACTGGCTGCTTGACTTTGCACCATGCTAAGTCGCATTCCGAATGGAAAAAGTTACTCTGAATTTTGCTTTATTTTGGATAATTGATTGCCATGTATAATTTGTCTAATTGAGATTAATCCTTTGGGCCTGTTTTCTTGAATACCTATGAGCTTTATCTAGTGTTTAGGTTCTGATCGCATCAATATTCTTCTGCTTTTTGTTTCATCATTCCTCTTCTTTCTTGTTCTCTTTTTTTTGTTCTTTAAGCTGACAGTTTAGTCCAGGATGGATTGTTCATCTTCCGTTCCTCTGTTGTTTGTTATTTACATGTCACACAAGATTTCTTGCAAAGTAACAAAGTAGGGATTTTGGAAAAAAATTTGTTGTTTTATTGTCAACGCTCATTATTTCTGTTATTTCATTAATCTTGGTGTTTTAATAGTACCATGATGATTGCACAGCCAAGTATTTGAGTATTCTTCACTATACTGATTTTTCTTTATGACTCACTGCCCTATATATTGCAGCTTTGAACTCTTTAAGCCGATGCATGAAATGTGGAAAAGCTATATAAGTCAGCTTCTGAAGCATGTTGGGTTAGTGTCTTTCATTTCTTACTTTCCTGATTGTGTGCCGACTATGTGCTCAATCCCTCTCGTCAAAAGTGATCTCCTTACTTAACAAATGTCTATAGGTTTATACATTGCAAATATTTTCTGCTCTTAATCTGTGATCATAAATACTGCAGGAAAAATCAATTGGCCCAATGTCTCCTCAACGCGGATTTACATGGTTCTGTCATTTTAGGTAATAAACTGAACTCTAACTGCTCTAGTTCTGTGTAAATTATCAGCCAAATTATGTAGTAAATTGTGCTAAGCGAATGGCTCTTCAATTAACTAGCACCTTATCTATTAATTTCATGGCAGCCTCCTGGTTTGAACTAAATTTGGTTTACTATCTTTGAAAGACGAGAGGAGATTTTAATTACTTTTGAAAAACTAAAAGATTGCCTGCTGTTAGAGAATCATAGTGGCTACCTTAAATGGCTTTAGGTAATGCATCTAAGCATTTGGTAAAGGAAATTTCTGAGTATCTTGACATGGAATATGTGGAAACTCATTATACACCTCCCTGAGTGAATTTTTTATTTTATTTTATTTTATTTAGGCTTGTGTTCAATTTCCATATAATATAGATTTATTACTTGTAATTGTACTTTAACCTTCAAAGAGATGGTTATAACAAAGCAGTGGGTGTTTTTCTATTAGAAAGTATGCCACACTTGAGTTGTAACACACGAGGAAGAAATTTTATAAAAACATTTAATGAATCTGTGGCATATTTTCTATCATGTTGTATTCCAATTGATTAGTTAGTGTTCTGCAGTTGTTGAATGCAAAATAGAAGCCTTACATGGAGTTCATGGTATCATGATTTGCGAAACTGCTGAAACATTTGGAATAATTACAGAAGATAATAAGTTTCAAGGTAATGCGCAATTTCTGTTTTTCTTTGCCCCCTCTATTTTTTTTTTTTTTTAAAGATTGCAATTTTCAGGATTTTCTGTTGGTTGCATTTGCATCTAAGTTATAAGAGTTAACTGTTGTTGAAACTCTCATCTGAATGGTTTAGGGAATGAAACAATCATGAGGAAGTTTTTCTGTGTGTATTTTATTTACATGTCACGTTAGTGGGCTGTGCCTGAGCTTATAATTTATGGTCTGGCTTTTGTTATAAATCTTGCACATGGCTTCAAACTTTTAATCACCAATTATAGATTTCTGAGATCATATATATATCTACAATCCTTACTGTTGTTGGCTTCTTGTTGGATAAAATCCTGTTTTGTTGCACAGTTATGATAAATTGCCTTGAATTAGCTCCTTTTTTTCCCCCTTTTTGTTGTATTAAAGTTAAAACGATGTAGAATATGAATTTGAGTTTATAAGTTATTTTGCGCATGGTTTCAAACAGAATATTTCAATTATAATCAAGTAAATAAGTACCTACTATTTTTACTGTTCTTAGCTTCTCCCTGGATAATTCTCTTTTGTTGATAAAGTTTTGATAAATAGCTCTAAGTTAGCCCTTTTTTTTTTAATGTTCTTTTAAAATGGAGAACATGACTTTTGAGTTCCCAGGTAAATTGACACATTACAGGGACGAATCTGTGACTGATCTGCCAAGTTTGGACAAATCAATATTTGAAACTTTTCTCCCAGTGTAACTCAGTAAGAAAATAAGGCTTGCCTGCTACTTTTGCCAGAACCGTAACTTAACACATTACAAGGACAAACCCGTGACTAATCTGTCAAGTTTGGACAAATTGAGAAAAAAAAAATTTTCTTGAGAAGCAACTTACCAGGAAGATAATGCTTGTCTGGTGCTTAGCTAGAACTATGAACAAATATCGTCTGGTTGCCAAACAAGCATGCTTCTGTTTTCTGATTTCTTTAGCCACATGAGTGGCTCAAAAATTTCGCATTTGAAATGCTTTTCAAAATTACTAGTATGATTTCTAACTGTATCACTTGTATCAATTGCAGTTGTGCCCAAGAAGCTTTCTGTTTTCATGCTCCAAGCTGATAGTTGGAAAATTACACTTCATGGAGACAAACTTACTTCAAGACCTCTGGTCCCTTAATTTGGTTACTCTTAATTTGTTGTGGTAAGCTTCATTTCCTGCATTGAGTATTAGAAGTTTGCTTCTGTTATGTGGCCTTTGTTTCCATTGAGGCTTCAGACTGTTTGGCTATCAGGACGTGCAGTGTGTGGCGTTAATATTTATTACTATAATTGTTCTTGTCAAGAGAATATAAGTATTCTTGTAGATAATAAATTAGTAAGGGTATTCTTGTAAATAGTTTGTTAGGTTTGTACTCCTATAAATACTAGTTGGTCACTCATAATACTGTGACTAGATGTTTTCCTTCCAAAATACCAGTTGACATGGTATCAGAGCAAAAGTCCTAGGGTTAGGGTTAAACATCTAGCAAAAGTCTTGACGCGATACTGTTCATCGCGCACTGTTCACGCGGTACTGTTCACGCGATACTGTTCACCCCGGTACTATTCACGCGCACTGTTCACGGCGCACTGTTTATAGCGAATTTTGATTGCTGTTTTGTTTGAAGTGCTATTCGCTATGGTTGAAAGTTTTGCTAATGGGGTTACCACTGATCAAGTTAAATCAAGTTCTTCAGCGCATAGGTCCCAGAAAACTGTTATTATATCCGAGGAAGATTATGTTAAATTCTTACAGTACCAAACTACAAGTCACGCATCTCTTCCCTCTGCTTCTTTAGCACAAAAAGGTAATGACTCATGGATTATTGACTCCGGGGCTACTGATCATATGTCAGGTACCTCTAAAATTTTTTCTAATTTTCAAGAGTCTACTCCCTTTCCTCATGTTACTTTAGCTGATGGATCTACCACTAAAGTTAAAGGACTAGGCACTGTAGAAATTAATCCATCACTTCCGCTGTCTTCTGTTCTTTACGTACCCAATTTACCATTTAATCTAATGTCTGTTAGTAAGCTCACTAAATTTCTACAGTGTACAGTTACTTTTTCTCCTGATTCCGTTGTCATTCAGGATTTGAAGACAAAGAGGACGATTGGTGGAGGGCATGAGCATAATGGTCTTTACTTTCTCAACTTTAATGGTCCGATAGCATGTCCTGCTACTGTTTCTCCTCTTGAAATTCACTGTCGTTTAGGTCATCCGTCTTTACAAAATTTGAAAAAGTTGGTTCCTACTTTGAATCAATTATCTTCGTTAGAATGTGAGTCTTGTCAGTTAGGAAAGCATCATCGTGTTTCTTTTGCTCCTAAAGTCAATAAACGGGTTTCTGAACCCTTTTTGTTAGTTCATTCTGATGTTTGGGGTCCTAGTCGAGTCACTTCAAAGTTAGGTTTTAAATATTTTGTAGTCTTTGTTGATGATTTTTCCAGAGTTACATGGCTTTATTTAATGAAAGATCGTTCAGAATTATATTCCATTTTTTGTGCATTTGTTACAGAAATAAAGAATCAATTTGGTGTGCCTGTGCGTATACTTCGCAGTGATAATGCGAAAGAATATTTTTCCACTCCTTTTAATACCTTTATGACTAAGTCTGGTATTATTCATCAGTCCTCTTGTCCTCACACTCCACAACAGAATGGAGTTGCTGAAAGGAAAATTGGACATTTAATCGAAATTGCTCGAACACTGTTGTTGCACATGAATGTGCCCAAACAATTTTGGAGTGATGCAGTTCTAACTGCATGTTATTTAATTAATCGCATGCCATCTAATATTCTTGAAGGTCAATTACCTCACTCCATTCTTTTTCCTCATGAACCTGTGTTTAAATTGCCTCCTCGTATTTTTGGATGTGTCTGCTTTGTTCATCAGCTTGCTCCCGGGGTGGATAAATTAGATTCTCGTGCTATTAAGTGTATTTTCTTAGGATATGCACGAGCGCAAAAAGGGTATAGATGTTACAGTCCAGTTTTAAATCGATTTTTTACTTGTGCTGATGTTACTTTCTTTGAATCCACTCCGTATTTTATCAAACAAAGTATGTCTTGTGAGTTAGACCAGTGTCCCTCTTTTTCCTCTCCTGTTTTACCAGTCCCTTCCCCTTTATTACCTGAGTTATCTAGTCCACCAGATTCCATAGCTCGATTATCTCGTCCTCATCTTCAAGTTTACTCTCGTCGTTCCATGGTTGAAAAAGTTCCTGATATGCCACGCACTTCACCAATTAATTCTCAATCTTCCAATCCAGGTATGACGCCCTCCTCTGAGTTAGATCTTCCCATTGCTTTACGCAAAGGTAAGAGACATTGTACTTCCCATCCTATTTCTAATTTTGTTTCTTATTCTCGTCTCTCTATGTCATATTCTTCTTTTGTTGCTTCCCTTGATTCTATCTCCATTCCTAAGTCTATTACCTATGCTCTTAATCATCCTGGTTGGAGATTAGCTATGCAAGAAGAGATGTCTGCTTTGGAACAAAATGGTACTTGGGATCTTGTCCCTCGTCCTTCAGGTAAGCCTGTTGTTGGTTGTAAATGGGTGTACACTATAAAAGTGCAGCCTAATGGTTCTATTGATAGATTGAAGGCTCGGCTGGTAGCTAGAGGATTTACTCAGGTGTATGGAGTAGATTACTTAGAAACTTTTTCTCCTGTTGCAAAGATTACCTCTGTTCGTCTTCTTATCTCTTTGGCAGCCACTTATAATTGGCCATTGCATCAGTTGGATGTGAAAAATGCATTTCTGCATGGAGATTTGAAAGAAGAGGTATATATGGAACAACCTCCTGGATTTGTTGTTCAGGGGGAGAATCCGCGGTTGGTTTGTCGTTTGAAAAAATCCTTATATGGATTGAAACAGTCTCCGAGGGCTTGGTTTGGCCGGTTTAGTAGTGTTGTCATGGAGTTCGGTCTGACAAGATGTGGAGTAGATCACTCTGTATTTTATCGGCATTCTAATGCTGGTAAAATTTTATTAGTTGTTTATGTGGATGACATTGTGATTACAGGTGATGATGTTGTGGGGATTCAGAAACTTAAATGCAATCTGCAGGCAAACTTTCAGACAAAGGATTTAGGTCATCTACAGTATTTTCTGGGTATTGAGGTAGCTCGGTCTAAATATGGGATTTATTTATGTCAAAGAAAATATGTACTCGATATGTTGAGTGAAGTTGGGATGTTAGGTTGCCGACCTGTGGATACTCCTATGGATCCAAATGTGAAATTAGCAGGAGATCAAGGTGCATTACTTGATGATCCTAAGCAATATCGAAGACTTGTGGGTAAATTAAATTATCTCACTGTAACGAGACCTGACATTTCGTTTGCAGTGAGTGTTGTGAGTCAATTTCTTGATACCCCTCGTACTAGTCATTGGGATGCTGTTATACGGATTCTCAGATATCTTAAGAGTGCTCCTGGAAAAGGGTTGCTGTATCAAAATCATGGACACACTGATATTGAAGGATATAGTGATGCAGATTGGGCTGGTTCTGCCTCAGATCGAAGATCGACTACAGGATATTGTGTGTTTGTTGGTGGTAATTTAGTGTCGTGGAAGAGTAAGAAGCAAACAGTTGTATCCAGATCAAGTGCAGAATCTGAATACCGCGCTATGGCTCACACTGTGTGTGAGTTGGTTTGGTTGAAGAGCATATTACTGGAACTTGGGTTTGAGCATAAACAGCCTATGAATTTAGTGTGTGATAATCAGGCGGCTGTTCATATTGCGTCTAATCCAGTGTTTCATGAAAGGACAAAACATATTGAAGTTGATTGTCATTTCATTCGAGAGAAATTGCTTGACGGGGTCATCAAGACATCTCATGTACCGTCTGTAGATCAATTGGCTGATGTGTTTACCAAGAGTTTAGGGGGTTCTAGGGTGAAATACATTTGTAACAAGTTGGGTGCTTATGATATATATGCTCCAACTTGAGGGGGAGTGTCAAGAGAATATAAGTATTCTTGTAGATAATAAATTAGTAAGGGTATTCTTGTAAATAGTTTGTTAGGTTTGTACTCCTATAAATACTAGTTGGTCACTCATAATACTGTGACTAGATGTTTTCCTTCCAAAATACCAGTTGACAGTTCTTTTTTCGTAAATGGTGAAAGGGGTTGTCCAGATGTGTTTTTGGGCGGGGGAAGGGGGAGGGTTCTCATGTTATACATTCTTAGACTGTTGGAGCACAGTGCATTCGTGATTTATGGCTTATGCATGTTGTAACTTGATGTATCACTGAGATGGTTTCTTTGCTTTGGGTCTCTTTTTCTGGTTCTGAGAGGTTGTCTAGTTGTGAGTGAGAGAGCTACGTATATTGAATTATTAGAGAGAGTATATGTTGATTTGCTTATAGTTGTAGACCTACCCTGGCACGAATAAGCAAATATTGTTACCGTAGGCTGAACCAGAGTCATATACTACATCTCCGGGGTCTTCATATGAACTTCTAAGGCTATAATCATAGAATTAAGCTGCTTTAGGAATCCAGAACTACAACGTGACTGTTCTTGTCACTATATAAGTTTTAGTTTTCTTCTGTTCTGATTTGTTGGCCATGTTCATTGTATTTCTTTCATTCTACCATCACATTTTTTTCCTTTTTGTTGGTTTTTATGAACGTCAGAATTTCATAGATTTGTTCCTATATTCGTTTATATTTGTTGGGACAAGTTAATTTGCGTTGTTCTTATTTCTTGTGATACGAGTCAAGCTATGTCATCCGATAAAATTCAAGTCCCACTAGGATTGGTTACGCAAGCTCGAGCAGTTCATTCAGCTTCATCGCAGATGACTTGAGCTTATTGACAATAGGTATTTTGGAAGGAAAACATCTAGTCACTATGGGTCCGTTTGGATCCCTTGTTTTTGGAGCTGTTTTTGAAAAACTGTTTTTCACATTCCAAATGCTACAGTAAATGTGTATTTCCAAAACAACTCCAAAAACACCATATCCAAACATTATATAAAAAACAACTACACATGAATATTTCAATTTGTATATTTCAATTATGTATATTATATATATATTATATTAATATAAATTGAAATATACAAATTGAAAATTATATATATTATATATTATATAAATATTTATATACATTAATATTATACATAATATTGTATATTATACATAATATAATATAATAAACATAATATGTAATTGTACATAAATGTGTAAATATTTATACATAATATATTATGTACATTATATTATAATATATACATTATTAATGCATAATATTATTATGTACATTATTGTGTATAATAATGTATAATAATGTTATGTATAATATTTAATATACATAATATGTAATAATCTAATAATGTATATTACGTATAATATATTATATTATGTATATTATATTATATATATACAATATTATGTATATTATACAAATTGAAAATTATATATTATATATTTATATACTATATATTATATGAATATTTATATAATGAAATATACAATAAATATTACAAATTGAAATATTATATAAACACCATATTTATAATATTATAATATTTATAATTAATATTAATGTATATTATATATATATATTAAATATTTATATATTTATTTATACATATTATAAATATTTTATTTTATTTAAAAAATATTTTTATATATTTATAATATATTTATATGAATATTATACATTATATATATAATATATAATATATATAATATATATTATACATTTATATAAATGTATATTTATACATAATATATATATTAATGTATATTTATAATATACATTTATATTATGTATTATATATAATATAATACATTTATAATACATTTATACATTTATATTAATATACATAATATTAATTTTACATTTATACATAATATTAATACATTTGTATATTTATATTAATTATATTAATACATTTATACGTAATATTAATATATATTAATAAAATTATAATTTATACATTTATATAATATTCATTTGTAATTTATACATTTATAATAATATACACTTATACATTTATAAATATATTTATATTATTTATTATATATAATATAATACATTTATATATTTTTATATAAATACATAAATATATTTATTTATAAATGTATTATAAATGCATAAATGTATATTTATATAAAAATATAAAAATTATAAATTATAAATTATACATTTATATAATATTCATTTATAATTTATACATTTACAATAATATACACTTATACATTTATAAATATATTTATATTATGTATTATATATAATATAATAAATTTATAATACATTTATATATTTTTATATAAATATATAAATATATTTATTTATAAATGTATTATAAATGCATAAATGTATATTTATATAAAAATATAAAAATATAAAAATTATAATTTATAAGTTAAATATACAAATATAAAAATATAAAAATTATAATTTATAAGTTATAATTTATACATTTATAATAATATACACTTAAGTTTTATTTTGGATGCTTTAATTTACAGGATGAAGGTGCATCGTACCTAACATTGGTTTGGGACGTATGCCTTTATAGACTTTTTATGCAAACTGTGCGGACTTAAAAATTTTTGACTCAAAGTCCGTGGATATGACATGTTAACTTTACGGACTTAAGACCTACTGAAATCCGTAACGATAGATTCTAAAAACATCAAATCAATATGGCCAAACTATACAATGTGGCCGACAACTAATAAAAGCTTATATCAACTTTATGACCGACCTATTCATAGATTCTAAAACCATTAAATCAATTTGGCCAGACTATACAATGTGGCCGACAACTAATAAAAGCTTTATCAACTTTATGACCGATTTATACAATATAGCTTTAGACAAGATGGCCGAAAAAATTATCCTTCCATCATATTTTCGATGCTGCTCATTTCTTCTGGTCCCATTGTTTCCCAATAATGATCATCATTATATTCTTCATCTGCTTCGATATCCAAATGCTTTGCTCCTGTGCTCATATAATATCCTTCCAAATATTTTTCAAAAACTTCTGGATAATTGGTACTTATAGTGAAATCTTTTTCTAACTTAAACCTGTATGGGACATATATCTTTTGTACCTTATTTTCATATACTAACCTTATTCCATTTTCCCATTGATATATGAAATGTCTGTAAGCTAATTGGATCATTTTGGCATTTATCAATTGTTCTTTTAATTTTAATGGACATTCCACTAGACTGCTGCTGATTTTCTCTAGTTCTTCTGTCGTTCTCCTTGCTGGTGGTATATTGCTGACTGTAATAATCATTCTATGTATTGCTGATTCTATATCAAAAAGTCCTATCCATTCTGCCGGCGCGGATTTGATATGTACAGTTGCCCACTGTCCATAGTCTAACATTTTTCTGATGAAATATCCGAGATGAGTTCCAAGACAATGAGTATCTTCTGGATTTGTAACAATAATTTTTTCCAGGAATCCGGCATCCATAAGAAATTGTGGTGTTAGAATAACTCTTTCCCCATTTACTCTCAGTATCTTTGGGGATGAATATTTTGATAAGATAATAGTGGCTCTGAGGAAAAAATTACTGAGTGTATGTATACAATGGTTATTTATTTTCTGGTGATCACAGGCTTCTGGATTGTTTGGACAATGTTTTTCTGGGTCTATGAAAAAGGATGGATTTAGTCTAATGGCTGCTGTATTTCTAATTGGATCTTTTGCTATGTCACAGAAATATTGTTGAACTGCTATTAATTTTGAATAATATTAGGCTTAGGCTTTTTGGCTAATAATTTCTTGGATATGTAAAGGGAGGAAACTAAGTAGGTGATATGGTTTAAAGAATATTCTGGGCTTAAGAAATTCAAATGGTCTTTCTGAAATGGGTTTTTCTTTTATAAAAATTGGCTGTTTTATTGGGCCGGATGAAGAACTGGCCATATGAGATGCTGTATAAGACAGCCTTCCTTTGAGCTCCCCAATCTCAGAAATTTGTGAGAGAATAGTATCTCCTTGTGAGCCTGAGATCTTATACATTTCTTTAAGCTGTTCAGTTAAGGATTTTATTTTTTCTTTTTGAGAAAAGTCTTCTTCTTCAAAATTTCTAAACTTTAAATTTAAACTTCTAATAGTTTGTTCCATGCTCTTGCAATGTCTACAAAATTCTATTCTATTTGTGCTATTTTTTTCTAATGCATATTGATAATTTCTACTGCTACTAGGGGCATCTATATTTTGATATACTGGAGCCCTCATGCTATCCATGCTAGCCTTAGGATCTACATAAAATGTTGTTCCTATATTCTGCCTAGCGAATTCTAGTGTTTCATGTATGCTATGAAATGCTTTCCATAAAGGATTACGAAAATGATTTATTTGTTCTATAACGGAAATTCATTTAGAATAGATTCCAGGTGTTTTTCCTTTTACTACTACATAATATGAAAAACTTTGTTTCGGAAGATTGTTAAAATAAAATGCCAAGATATTAAGATTTCTAACTTTATCAGTGCTATTTCTGCTATTCCAGAGGTTATTTAAGATATCCTGTTGGATGTCTTCTAAATTACCTTCCTCTTGACTATGGAAATCTAAGGAAACTAGAAGCCCTTTATATTGAGAGAAATAAGCACCACTTCAATATAAGAATAAAAAGAACTTCTGTAATAAGATTTTTAATAACTTCTAAGAAATCAATATAGGTATTTAACCGGAGCCTAATAGTCCGGCCATTCCGGGATCCATCTCCCGTTCTTTTGGTATTTAGAGCCAGGCTCATCGTCATGTTAGCTAGCAAGTGAACATGAATCAGAATTGAGCAGATGAAGTATCTTCAATCTGTTCATAAACAAGTGAACATGAATCAGAATTGAGCAGATGAAGTATCTCCAATCTGTTCATAAACAAGTGAACATGAATCAGAATTTCAATATTTTTAAACATAACAAAAACAAAACAATAAATTAAAGATCACTTGTGCAGGTGTTAAATGGGCTGGCTCCAGCAATCCAATTTCAGTAAAAGCTTTGCCGGCCACCTGGTACTGATGATGAAACCTGTAATTCATCATTTCCTCTCTCTCTGACTGATCATCTCTTCACTGCCTATTCACTTCCTCTCCAAGAGCTTCTCTTCATTGAAACATCTGAACTTTGAACAAGTCCTTCATCTCCAGAACCTTCACTTCTTTATCTTCCCTCACAGCCGCTGTCCTTAGATAATCCATTGAAATAATTCTCTATCTTCATCACTGCCATTCGTCCCAGCTTTCAATCCGCAAATCAGCTTTCATTAAGAGCCTTCATGTAAAAGTGCCATTCGTCACTTTCTTGTATTATGGGCGGTTGACCAAATGGGTTTTGTTTGATGAATTCTTCTACGTTATCAGCTTCAGCCAATTTCTTCAAGTGCTGAGCAAATTCTCCTTTAGGATCTGCAAATATTTCTTTTCAAGTTACTTGAATAATTTCAGGTTAATTCAATAATGAAAATCACAAAGCCAAGAAAAATGCTTCTCACCCAGATAATTATCCTTTTCACTTGAAAATGCATAAGATTCGGGGAAGATGGCATTGTATCTCTAAAAAATTCAGCAAAGGAAAAAAATTAGAGCATCATCCAGAACAGAGTACAAGAATATGTCACATAACAAGTATACTTACAGGATTAAGGAATGATTTATATGGAGAATCATCGACTAACAATGTGTTAGACAGACCATATTGCTCAAAATCTTTCCAAACTTTCCTCAAGTCCTTAAACATAATCTTTTTTTCTGAATTTTCTTTAGTTTTGGTTTCGACTACAGTGCAGTGAGCCTGATTCTGCAAAATACAGCAGTATCCAATGGAACATTACATTACCCAAAAATAAGAGACTGATTCTGCAAAATTTTGCTAAGAGACTGATTCTACAAATTCTAATAATGACAAATGAAGTCTCACCCAAACAAACTTCCATTTAAAATGTGACAGATTTTTTATTACACGTTGAACATTATGCCTGGGAAAAAAGAAGAATTGCAGAAAAATAAGGGGGGAAAAAAAGAATGTGTAACATATAAATCAATTAACTAAAATATAGGTCGACACATACCATTGTTTTGATGACCAAATTGCCACATTAAAACATGAGAAGCAGAATTTCAAAAATTCACGGGTATATGGCTTGAATTTAAAGTCATATCTGCCATTGGAATTCTTGGCTAGAATCACCCCATTCAGGTCCAGAATTAGGAGTTTGCTATTTGATGCCTTTCGAGAAGCAGCTCGGGTTATCCTAACAAGTGGCCTTTCAGTTTGCACTGAAAAAAAAAGAATGTTACATAAAGTATTCCTTTAACATTGACTAGTGGATGATAATATTAAAACAAAATGTACCATGTACCATGTCCTGTTTCTACATCCATACCTCCTTGGACCTCAGTCTCCTTTCCCAATTTATTCTCATTCAAAAAGGAAGCATAATTGAAGGGGTCTGCCAGTTTACTCATTGCAATCTCCAAGGCCATAAACTTCCTAGCAATCCTAGCATGAGTCTGATATACAAATATTAGTTGGATGCAATAAACTAGCATGAGTCTGACAACAAGCATTTGTGTACTTACTGATTTAGTAATGTTGGGTGCGCGTCCCATTGCCCAACATTGTATAAATTTCAATGTATAAACACCGCAACTTGATGTATCCTTCTGTCGTGAATTATGATTTACAAGATAAAAAGTCCAGCTCCAATCCTTATTCAAGAATTTATTCAAAATCCATACCTAAGCCTCAAAAAAAAAATTCAAGGGAAAAAAGGTCATCTTACTATATTTCATATTAATATAAGCTGTAATTTAATATAAGCTGTAATTTTTCTTGTAATACCAGAAGATGTATTATTCCATCATAGAATGTTGTGTCATTTTGCAGATGATCAACAATGTAGATTTCTTTTTCCGTGACATGAACGATCATCGGAAACCAATGTGATTTATGAAGTATGGCGAAGAAAATCTGCAATATAAGACAATAAACACTATCTAATAAAAAATTTATCCTATCTTATAATAACCATGAAATGAGTACACAGATGTAAATTAAAATAATTGCTGCCTTCTACTTTATAGATGACAAAGCAATGAAAGTTATTGTATACCTTTTCAGCATTTTTCATTAATTCCTCTAGCTTTTCAAGATGGAAAGCCTTCACAAGGCTTTCTTTTATGGATGGAAATTCTATGACCATATAGTGCTGCAATGAAGTGAATGACAAGCACGAGTCAAATATAAATTTTGCGATTCAGAAAACTATATGTCACATTGTTGATCCTCTGCAAAATGACAACATTCTATGATGGAATAATGCATCTTCTGGTATTACAAGAGAAATTACAGCTTATATTAATATGAAATATAGTAAGATGACATTTTTTCCCTTGATTTTTTTTTTTTTTGGGCTTAGGTATGGATTTTGAATAAATTCTTGAATAAGGATTGGAGCTGGACTTTTTATCTTGTAAATCGTAATTCACGACAGAAGGATGCATCAAGTTGTGGTGTTTATACATTGAAATTTATACAATGTTGGGAAATGGGACGCGCACCCAACATTACTAAATCAGTAAGTACACAAATGCTTGTTGTCAGACTCATGCTAGTTTATTGCATCCAACTAATATTTGTATATCAGACTCATGCTAGGAAGTTTATGGCCTTGGAGATTGCAATGAGTAAACTGGCAGACCCCTTCAATTATGCTTCCTTTTTGAATGAGAATAAATTGGGAAAGGAGACTGAGGTCCAAGGAGGTATGGATGTAGAAACAGAACATGGTACATGGTACATTTTGTCTTAATATTATCATCCACTAGTCAATGTTAAAGGAATGCTTTATGTAACATTCTTTTTTTTTTCAGTGCAAACTGAAAGGCCACTTGCTAGGATAACTCGAGCTGCTTCTCGAAAGGCTTCAAATAGCAAACTCCTAATTCTGGACCTGAATGGGGTGATTTTAGCCAAAAATTTCAATGACAGATATGACTTTAAATTCAGGCCATATACCCATGAATTTTTGAAATTCTGCTTCTCATGTTTTAATGTGGCAATTTGGTCATCAAAACAATGGTATGTGTCAACCTATATTTTAGTTAATTGATTTATATGTTACACCTTCTTTTTTTTCCCCCTTATTTTTCTGCAATTCTTCTTTTTTCCCAGGCATAATGTTCAACGTGTAATAAAAAATCTGTCACATTTTAAATGGGAGTTTGTTTGGGTGAGACTTCATTTGTCATTATCAGAATTTGTAGAATCAGTCTCTTAGCAAAATTTTGCAGAATCAGTCTCTTATTTTTGGGTAATGTTCCATTGGATACTGCTGTATTTTGCAGAATCAGACTCACTGCACTGTAGTCGAAACCAAAACTAAAGAAAATTCAGAAAAAAGATTATGTTTAAGGATTTGAGGAAAGTTTGGAAAGATTTTGAGCAATATGGTCTGTCTAACACATTGTTAGTCGATGATTCTCCATATAAATCATTCTTTAATCCTGTAAGTATACTTGTTATGTGACATATTCTTGTACTCTGTTCTGGATGATGCTCTAATTTTTTTCCTTTGCTGAATTTTTTAGAGATACAATGCCATTTTCCCCGAATCTTATGCATTTTTAAGTGAAAAGGATAATTATCTGGGTGAGAAGCATCTTTCTTGGCTTTGTGATTTTCATTATTGAATTAACCTGAAATTATTCAAGTAACTTGAAAAAAAATATCTGCAGATCCTAAAGGAGAATTTGCTCAGCACTTGAAGAAATTGGCTAAAGTTGATAACGTAGAAGAATTCATCAAACAAAATCCATTTGGTCAACCGCTCATAATACAAGAAAGTGACGAATGACACTTTTACATGAAGGCTCTTAATGAAAGCTGATTTGCGGATTGAAAGCTGGGACGAATGGCAGTGATGAAAATAGAGATTATTTCAATGGATTATCTAAGGACAGCGGCTGTGAGGGAAGATAAAGAAGTGAAGGTTCTGGGGATGAAGGACTTGTTCAAAGTTCAGATGTTTCAATGGAGAGAAGCTCTTGGAGAGGAAGTGAATGGGCAGTGAAGAGATGATCAGTCCGAGAGAGAGGAAATGGTGAATTACAGGTTTCATCATCAGTACCAGGTGGCCGGCAGAGCTTTTACTGAAGTTGGATTGCTGGAGCCAGCCCATTTAACACCTGCACAAGTGAACTTTAATTTATTGTTTTGTTATTGTTATGTTTAAAAAAATTAAAATTCTGATTCATGTTCACTTATTTATGAACAGATTGGAGATATTTCATCTGCTAGCCAACATGACGATGAGCCTGGCTATAAATACCAAAAGAACGGGTGACGGATCCCGGAATGGCCGGACTATTAGGCCCCGGTTAAGGACCTATATTGCTTTCTTAGAAGTTATTAAAAATCTTATTACAGAAATTCTTTTTATTCTTATATTGAAGTGGTGTTTATTTCTCTCAATATAAAGGGCTTCTAGTTTCCTTAGATTTCCATAGTCAAGAGGAAGGTAATTTAGAAGACATCCAGCAGGATATCTTAAATAACCTCTGGAATAGCAGAAATAGCACTGATAAAGTTAGAAATCTTAATATCTTGGCATTTTATTTTAACAATCTTCCGAAACAAAGTTTTTCATATTATGTAGTAGTAAAAGGAAAAACACCTGGAATCTATTCTAAATGGATTTTCGTTATAGAAAAAATAAATCATTTTCGTAATCCTTTATGGAAAGCATTTCATAGCATACATGAAGCACTAGAATTCGCTAGGCAGAATATAGGAACAACATTTTATGTAGATCCTAAGGCTAGCATGGATAGCATGAGGGCTCCAGTATATCAAAATACAGATGCCCCTAGTAGCAGTAGAAATTATTAATATGCATTAGAAAAAGATAACACAAATAGAATAGAATTTTGTAGACATTGCAAGAGCATGGAACAAGCTATTAGAAGCTTAAATTTAAAGTGTAGAAATTTTGAAGAAGAAGACTTTTCTCAAAAAGAAAAAATAAAATCCTTAACTGAACAACTTAAAGAAATGTATAAGATCTCAAATTCACAAGGAGATACTATTCTCTCACAAATTTCTGAGATTGGGGAGCTCAAAGGAAGGCTGTCTTATACAGCATCTCATATGGCCAGTTCTTCATCCGGCCCAATAAAATAGCCAATTTTTGTAAAAGAAAAGCTCATTTCAGAAAGACCTTTTGAATTTCTTAAATCCAGAATATTTTTTAAACCATATCACCTACTTAGTTTCCTCCCTTTACATATCCGAGAAATTATTAGCCAAAAAGCCCAAGCCCAATATTATTCAAATGTCATCAAGAATTGGAAAAATCACTTCCAATGTCATTAGTCCGAGAATTCAAAATCAAATGGTGGATAGGATTCAATCAAGAATTTTGTGACCAAAAGAATATATTAAGATTCCTAGAGACTGGAGAAAAACTCAAATGAACCAATCCAAATCAGCAGTCAACCAAAGGAGTCAATTTCCCAACTACTCCACAGAAGAAAGAAAAAGAAAAAAGTTGCTCAACATCAGAAACAACGGCAAATGAATTTTTTATGAAGAAGATGATGCAAAATCCGGAGATGCTCAAAGAATATCTAAATTATTTGCAAAATCAAGACAAGAAAGAAGAAGACAAAAAAGATGAGTCAGCTGGATTGTCATCAGAATCAACTTTTGATCCATTTTGTGGTCCTTGTGCTCAAGACCCGACGGGCTTTTGATAAAGTTGTCGGCCAATTTCCAAGAAGATAAGATAAGAATATCAAAAGAACCAATCAAAAGAAGATAAGGTGTCGGTAGAAAAAGCAAATGAAATTCAAATGAAAGTGTCGGCAATCAAATGAAGATGAAATTCAAAGACGGAAGTCTTTATAAATAGAACTCAAAATCATTTGTGGGGGACATCGAGTTTTGAGTCATCTGAAAATCTCTCTGTAAACCCCTACCTTCTCAGCTTTTATATTTCTTTGTATGCTCTTTTATTCAAGAAGATCAATAACAATTCGAAGTTTGATTTCATCTCAAAGGTTCTGCTATTTAAAGTTTTCGTTGCAAAGACTACTCTGATATTCAAGTAATGAAATTCAAATGAGAAAGTCCCGAGCCTCTATAAATAGAAGGAAGATTGCAAACTGAAGGCATCGGCGAATAGATCAGAGAAAAATTTCAGTTTACATCTTATAGTACAAACCTCTTACCTACTCTCACTTACTTCAGACCTACTCTTACCTACTTCAAATTTATACAAGACATAATTTTTCTCTTACCTACTTCAAGTTTATATTGGAAATTTATACAAGACATAATTTTTCTCTTACCTACTTCAAGTTTATATTGGAGTTAGGTTTGAAGTAAGTGAGAGTAGGTAAGAGGTTTGTACTATAAGATGTAAACTGAAATTTTTCTCTGATCTATTCGCCGATGCCTTCAGTTTACATCTTATAGTACAAACCTCTTACCTACTCTCACTTACTTCAAACCTACTCTTACCTACTTCAAACAACTGCTGTACTCTAGCTATTGTCAAGCTTATTCAATAAAAGAATCAAGGATTTATTTTGCTCAAAGCTTCCGTTGTCTACTCAATTTTATTGTAAGTCCAAATATTTATGCTTATTACAAGTTTATATTGCCTGAGTAGAAGTGGTATCAGAGCCAAACTACGACTGCATATTTAGACTTTGAATTTATTACTTTATTTGAATTACGTTTCTATTTCAATTTGGCTAATTCATGCATTTATGCTTATCTATTTTATTAAACTTTTACTGAAATCGTTGGTAAGACTTGATGCCTTGTAAGACCGTTGGTAAGTCCAGGATAGGATGTTCCAAGCATAGTGCTCGGTTGTTCCAGGTTAAGTAAAAATTTAATTAAATATAAAACATGGCTGCATTTCTTAGACAATTTAAAATAGGATCTAATTCAAAGCAAGCTAATATAGTACAAAGTCATGAATATCATATGCCTATAAATAATTCAGATTGGACTATTCCAGAAGAAAAAATAGAACATATTTATAGAATAGGCCCTTTAGATTTCAAAACCGCTTTATCAGTTAAAACTCATGAAGAAACGATATCTATTCAAGAAGAATATCAATCAATTCCATTATTAAATCATAGTACAATTCAAAAATATTTAAGTAAAGGATATCGATATATTCATATAGGTTTAATACAAATTGCTGTAAAACCTTTATTTCATCTAGGAGTAGATGCTCCAATATATTTAGCATTAAGAGACACAAGACTCAAACGATATAAAACTTCTTTATTTTCTATGATTCAAACAAATGTTTGTAATGGACTCATATATTTTAACTGTGCTCCAAATTTTTCAATAGATTTAACTGACCCACATATTCTGAATTCTGTAATAGTAGATATTCATCTACAAGGAAATGAATTTGAAAAACACACAAAGAATTTTGCAATAATATACAGAATATATTATAGACCTTTATCGTCGCATTTAAATCCTAAATTTATAATGATCCCAACACTTAAGGAAGAGACAACTTTATTACAAGTAGACGCAGATAGACCTACAACTTATACACCGAAAAGATTAAAATTGAATGAAATAACTAACTCCTCTTTTGACTCTTCAAAATTAATAGATAAATATCCAAATATAAACATAATGAAAAAAGAAACTATTAAAGATCTTCAAACAGAAATTAATAATCTCAAAATACAAGTAAAACAATTACATAAAGAAATTATAGAGTTAAAAACAAAAGATTTAGAAATAGAAGCAAAATTAACATTATTAGAAAATCAACCTTCAACTTCTAATTCTAAAATAGAAGAAATAAATATATCTGAAAAACCTACAAATGAACTTCAATATATAAATATTATAGAAAGAATGACATTCCAAAAATGGTTTGCTTTAGTAACTATCACAGTAGAAGATTTTAAAGAAACATATGTAGCTCTAATAGATAGTGGAGCTGATACAAGTTACATTAAAGAAGGAATAATTCCAACTAAATATTGTGAAAAAACAAAAGAAAAATTAATGGCAGCAAATGGAGAAAATTTAGAAGTAACATATAAATTTACAAAAGGATCAATATGTAATAATGAATATTGTATTAGACATAATTTTATAATTGTAAAAAATATAAATTGTGATGTAATATTAGGAACACCCTTTTTAATTCAAATATATCCATTTTTTGTAAGCCATGAAGGAATTTCAATAAATATAATGGGAAAAACAATTATATTTAGATTTCTAACCCCAGTAAAACAAAGAGAATTACAGATATTACAAACCTCCTCTATTTATAAAACAATAAATAGTATTACTAAAGTACAACAACAAATAAATTATATTAAAGAAGAAAAATCTTATTTAAAAATTGAAGAACAATTAAAAGAAGAAAAGATACAAAAAAGAATTTTAGAACTAGAAAAATTATTACAACAAGAAGTATGTGCTGACATTCCTAATGCTTTTTGGGATAGAAAACAACATATGGTTGAGTTACCCTACGAAACAGGATTCAATGAGAAAAATATTCCAACAAAAGCTAGACCTATACAAATGAATTTTGAATTATTAGAACTCTGTAAAAAAGAAATAAAAGCATTAATGGATAAAAAATTAATAACCCATTCTAAATCACCATGGAGTTGTGCTGCATTTTATGTCATGAATCAAGCAGAAAAAGAACGAGGAGTTCCAAGATTAGTAATAAATTACAAACCATTAAATAAAGTATTGCAATGGATTAGATATCCAATTCCTAATAAAAAAGATTTGCTTAATAGATTATTTAAAGCAAAAATATTTTCAAAATTTGATTTAAAATCAGGATATTGGCAAATATTAATAAATCCAAAAGATAGATACAAAACAGCATTTACAACACCCTTTGGACATTATGAATGGAATGTAATGCCATTTGGATTAAAAAATGCACCATCAGAATTTCAAAATATAATGAATGACATCTTTAATCCTTACAGTTTATTTAGTATAGTTTATATTGATGATGTATTAATATTTTCTGAATCATTAGAACAGCATTTTAAACATTTAAATATATTCTTAAAAATAGTTAAGAAAAATGGATTAGTAGTTTCTGCACCAAAAATGAAATTATTCCAAACAAAAATAAGATTTTTAGGACACGATATTTACCAATGCACAATCAAACCAATTAATAGAGCTTTAGAATTCACTACTAAATTTCCAGATGAAATAAAAGATAAGAATCAATTACATAGATTTTTAGGATGCTTAAATTATATAGCAGATTTCTTTCCCAAATTAAGACAAGAATGCTCTATATTATTCAATAGATTAAAGAAAAATTCAAAGCCATGGACAGAAGAACATACTCAAAAAATAAGATATTTAAAAGAAAAAATTAAATCTTTACCATGCTTATGTTTACCACATCCTAAAGCATTCATGATAGTTTAAACAGATGCATCAGAATTAGGATATGAAGGAATATTAAAACAAAAATTAGAAGAGTCAAAAGAGGAGTTAGTTAGATTTCATTCAGGAACTTGGTCTGATCCTCAAAAAAATTATTCAACGATTAAAAAAGAAATTTTATCAATAGTTTTATGTATATCAAAATTTCAAGATGATTTATATAATAAAATTTTTTTAATAAGAATAGATTGTAAATCTGCTAAAGAAAATTTTACAAAAAGGTGTTCAAAATATAGTTTCAAAGCAAATATTTGCTAGATGGCAAGCTATTTTATCTGTATTTGATTTTGAAATAGAATTTATCAAAGGAGAAAATAATTCTTTACCAGATTTTCTTACTAGAGAATTCCTACAAGGACATGGATCGTGAATTGGTGACTCCAATTGAAGAACGAGAATATACCAATTATTTGAGAGTTCAAAGGGATTCTCCCAAACTCCAAAACAAAGAAAAAGATATCCAATCCAGAGGATATCAATATTTTGCCCAAACCAGCTATGGCAGACAGAGTATTCCAGCTCATCAAATTCTTAAATATGACACTATATACATTCGAAAAAGCCCTTATGCTACTATCACTCTCCAAGAAAGAGCCTTTCTTATTCAAAGAGAGATTCAGAGAAATACCATTCGAATCAAAGTTATGAAAAAAATTGAGAGAAGTGAGGAATTTATTCAGTATCACAGAAAGCAAAATAAACAATTATCTGACCAACTTAAAGATATTGTTTATTAATATTGCAGGATTATGGATTCAAAAGCAGGAAATTCCCGGCCAAAGACTCCTCAAGATTATGAGATGAGTCTTACTCTTGTTACTCAAAACAGATTCCAACTTTTATCAGATTTTCCAGCATTGACTTACAGTCAAGCTGCTTGCACTCCAACTTCTTCTCAAATAAAACCTCTTCAACAGATTCCAAAGACCCCAGAGAAATCCAATGAAAATACTTATTTTACCAAGCCATTTACTCAACATATCACTTTAACCAAATTTCAAGAAGTACCTTTATATTCTACACTCAATCAAATTACCCAGAGAATCTTTCCTCAAAAGTGTTTTTGGTAACCAGATGATCCTTCAAAAAATTTGGATTATTATGAATTAATTCTTACAGATACTCAATCTGTAGAAATATTTCCAATTCCAGACAGAAAATACCCAAATATGATTAGCCACTCAAAATGCATAATAAAGAAAGTTTGTTCTCCAAATGAATGGACTTCTCTTTATTCTAAAAAATCCTTTTCAGTAAGGTTCATTCCAGATGGATTTACATATCAAGATTATAAAATGGCATGGTATCGTGCTTTCCTTTTTAGATCATTCAATCATTCATGGTTCTTCACGTTCAAAGAAAATTGCAGCAGAGAATTTCCAATTTGGTTCAATCACTGGTGGAAATGGTTTGGCCCACAACCAAAGATATTACCTCCAAATGTGCTTATGGGATTTCAAACGTATCTAAAAAGAGCAAAGGGGGAAGAATATACAAGACCAATTTTATTCCATATGGAGTTCAAAGGCCCGTGGATATTTTGCTAGAGTTTCAAAATTCATCA